TGTGTGCGATATATTTATTAGTGTATATATAGTTCTGTTCCGTCCTGTTCTATTGAGCAATTCCTCAAATAATCTTGTTTGAGTGACATCTTGTGAGGTCTATTACAAATTTTACTTCAACTATCTGAATAGACAATTTAGATGATTGAAATACAACGCTGAGTGGATCTAAGTAACACTATGTTCCCTTCATCAATATATCTCTACTGAATATGCATGAAATGATTATAACCAGGATTCGAAAGCCCAGGAAGCCGTATGATGTTTGAGAAAATGCAAAATGAAAAATCACTCTTGGAACTCACTCATTTGCTCGTCGAAAAGGACTATTCATGGATGACATCAAGGGAAGATGATGTTCGCCGTGATGATGATAGGAACCATACCCCATTGCTCATAGCGGCTAGAAACGGTATATCAGAAATTGTGAAAAAGATGTTGGAGTTACACCCTCAATCGGTTGAGGCTCACGATATTGATGAGCAACAAAACATTTTGCACGTGGCCATTATGCATCGCTGGTTGGAGATCTTTAAGCTTATAAAAAAGAGCAAATCAATAACATCAAGGATGGCTATGAAGATTGACAACAATGGCAACACCATATTGCATCAAGCTGCAACTATGAGATATTACTCTGCAGACACTCAGCGCCTAGGTGGTCCAGCGTTACAATTGCAGGACGAATTGCGTTGGATGGCGGTGAGTGCCATGAGTTGTGTAATTAATTGAAGTTCATATACTAGCTAGGAATGATGCATGCATTTTCTTTATTCAATGTTGTCGTCTATGAGTTTTGAACTCAATACCTCCTCCAACAAGGCATAGAAACTCGGTGCCACTACACCAAACTGACATAGATGCATTTAAAATACAAACTATCCCCAATAGGGTAGGTAGTTTAATAATTTTTATTTATTTTTAATATAAGTGATAGTCTAAACTACAGGACAGGGGGTTACTTTCTGTTTCCTTTCGTTGGCTAGTAAAACACTTTTGTTAAGTTAACGATAATCAAAATATGTATGAAGTTATTAGTTATTAATTATTTTGATAAAAAAAAAGATAAACATCTTCCAACCTTACAAAGAGAAATACCACTAATTAACTAGTTATTTTAAGTATAAACCTGCTTATAAATTTATTTGTTACTTGAGCAATGTTCATGATGGTGCTTGAAATGATTAATCCTCTCCTCATCAATTTTTCCATGTGTGGCTAGCGTGTGAAAAAGATTATTTCACCTCGTTACATCATGAAGCACAACAGGGAGGAGAAGACAGCGGAGCAGCTCTTCAATAGTGAGCATGCAAAACTTCTTCAGTCGGCTCAAACATGGATAAAAGAGACTGCTCAGTCATGTTCGACTGTGGCGGCTTTGGTGGCCACCGTTGTCTATGCAGCCGCCTACACGGCTCCCGGGGGTAATGATTCAAACGGGGTTCCTGTTCTCCGGCATTCTTCTTTCTTCTTCACATTTGCCGTTGCTGACACCGTCTCGCCCATCAGTTCATTGGCTTCTTTGGTCACGTTTCTCTCTATCCTGACATCGCCGCTTGAGTACCAAGACTTTTATCGTTCTCTTCCATTCAGGCTGCGTTTGGGGTTCACCCTTCTGTTCTGCTCACTAATAACCACCATGCTCACCTTCACTGCTACTATTTTGCTCTTGATTCATCCCCAAAAGAAATGGACAACGTCCCTCATTTTTGTTGTTTCATTTCTTCCTGTCCCTGTGTGTGGCCTCATGCAGCTTCCTTTGTTTAAGGGATTTTCCCAAGGTTTGAAATACATTTTAAAGAAAATTACCAAAATTAAAACTTCAATTTTCTCTGTAAGAGGAAACTGATGATAATAATATGGATGCTTGGTTAGGGTAAGGCCTATTATTAAGTGATGATTTGTCAAAAGGTCGGATTAAGAATGCCTATAGCTCTCAATTGGTTCTGTTCTTCTTCCTCTGTGTTTTCTTTCCCTCCTTCATGTGTACTTCAGAATAAGTTAACAGGCTCGAAATAAAATGTATGCTAAACAATCTGTATCTTGCTTCTTCTTTTTTTTTTTTTCTTTTTTTTTTGTTGAGATTTTTCTTTATTTGTAATTAATCTGGGTTTAAACATATTTGCTTATGGTTCATAATTCATTTATTGAACTGATTATATTGAATGAGCAGAGTATGACTTTCTTGGAGGATGGATAACAGCCCACAGCTCCCTTTTCAATTAACTTCAAATTAAATAGTTATTTTAGATGATTCCTAAGAAAAGTAAAAGCAAAACAAATAAAGTAGTTATTATTGGCGTGAGTCAAAGTTAACGTTCCTATTAGGAATAGAATTTGTATTTTATTATAATTAAAATATTTGTACCCGCTCTGTTTATTTGTTCATAGGAGATTTTGTATATATTTCCTATTTGTATCCACTCTGTATGAGAAGAATAAACATATGAGTTTAAACCCTAATTAATTTTGAGTTGGTTGATATCCATCTCTACAACATAAAAAACCCTAACCCTAAACACTACCTATTCTTGCTACACTATACACCTCTAGTATGTAATCCTAGCCCGCTGTCACCGTCTACCTTGCCACCTTCGCGACCGTCTACCTTGACATCGTCGATGCCGCCTACCTTGCTACTGCCATCGTGCCATCCATCACCATGCCAAATATTGATGACCTTATTTCTTCACTGGCTTCTAGTTGTACTTCCCCTACTACTACTCATACCTTTATTGTGACAGTTCACATTGAATCATCCACTCATCTACTCATGGGATTCAAATTGAATGGATCCAACTATGAGATATGGGCTTCGATGATCGAACTCCATGCTATTACACAAGGCAAATTAGGTTACCTGATTGGTGACATTGATGCCTCGGATTCCCATGACCCATAATTTGGGAAGTGGAAAATTACTAATGCTACTGTGAAAAGTTGGATGTTGCGAACTATGGAACCTAGTTTGTTGAATATGTTTCATACTCTACCTACTGTCAAGGATATTTAGGATGCTGTTAATCAGATGTTTTATGATGGCTCTGACATATCCCAGCTTAATGAATTGCGGTGCCAGGCTACCTGTCTCAAGTAAAGGGGTCATCCTGTCTCCACTTATTTTGCCAAACTTAAGGCAATCTAGCTTGAATTGGACAAGAGACGTCCATTTCAAATGAAGTGTGCTGATGATATGAAGACGTTTTAGGTTGCTGTTATGGCAAATCGTGTGTATGATTTCTCGGCTGGCCTTGACGATACTTATCACAAGGTCTGCAATGATATTCTACAGAGTCATAAAGTTCCGAGTATCGAAAATATATTTTTTATGGTACGTCGAGAGGCTCAATGCCAGATTACTATGCTTGGATCTGGCACCAAGACTTGAGAACCTAATGTTGTGTTTACTTACTATGTAGGGTTTGGCTTTTCTATCATTCCACCTCGTCACTTGACTTCTGCAGAAAAAGAAAAACTGAAGTATGATGACTGTGGTGATAAGAGACATACTATCGACACCTACTGGGCATTATGGGATGTCATATTGGGAGAATGAAAAGAGGCGTTTAAAAAAGAACAATTGGTTTAGATACGATAGCCTTGTTTGGCAAGCATGCCAAAGTTGGAGAATCTTATTTCTTAAGCCCAACTCTAGAGATGCCCAATCTATGCCGTTATGACTATAATGCCTTGTTTGTTACACGTCCCACCCAGGCCTCGAATGGCTTAGATTTAAATTTGGCCCATGTTTAGTTCACCTACGTCTAGTTTTAAATGGGGATTACTAATGTTGGAGCCCACTAAAAACACCTTCTTAACACACTAAAAACACATGGGAGCATTTTTGCTCACCACTTTAACCATAGGTGTACCCTCACCACCATCCTCAATGCTTGACATGTGTCCATAGACATAACCATAGTTAACTTTTGCTTTGTATTTATGGAATCATGATTATACCTATGGACACGTGTCAAACATTGAGAATGGTGGTGAGGGTACACCTATGGTTAAAGTGGTGAGTAAAAATGCACCCAAAAACACCTCCTTAGCAACCTTTTCCCAAGCTAGCTAAAGTGAGTTTCCCAGTGCTTTTCAACAGGTCACCACTCTCTCTCTCTCTCTCTCTCTCTCAACCTTCCTTTTCTCTCAACTTGATCGAATACTCTACTTAATCTTTCTCTTCTCTCTACTTTATGGTATCACTTCTTTGTAGATGTTTTGAGATTTTTGTCTATTTTTATTTTTGGGTTTACCGAATATTGGTTTCTTTGGACTCATTGTCTTCTTTTCAGTTAGATAATTTATAGTGGATGTGTTTTTCATATTATAATGGTCAAATATGATGGTTTAATAAGGATTGGGTTATGTGAAGATTTGAACATTTCCATTACACGTGAAACTTTTATCATAATCAAGGAATGTGAAGATTTGAAAGATAGGTTCAGGACACAGAGTAAAAATGTTGCTTACATAGAAGATTATAAAAAATAAAAATAATAAAAAAGAGGAGACTTGGAATACCAAAACATGTACAAGGTTGTTAGAAAAACGGGGGGTTTGCAATGTGAAGTAGAAATGGGGTCATTGTTTTGCTTGCAGTGAAAGAGAGAGCATTAGGGAGGAGGTATTGGAATGGGCAGTATCAGAAAACTATACAAGATCTATCTTTCACTTCAACTAGAGGGCACACCCAGTATAAATAAACTACATTAATTTGTTCTTTTAAAAGTTTTGATTTAGTTTTACTATTCTAATTTTTACGATACGTACTTCTAGCCGAAGCTGAAAAGGAAATGGATTTGGCCCTCAATCATTTGGTGCCAAATTTTTTGGCATTCTTGTTCAAGGTCTTTGCTTCATGGAATATATACTTTTGAAGTTATATCATATTATTTTTTTAACAGTTATTTTTTGCTAAAATATGAATATGGGTTTGAATATGTTAGGTTCTTTTATTCTTCTCCATAAGGAGGTATATATAAGAGTTTACATGAGTGCTTTACAAGGAATTAGATCCAGTAAAGGATT